AAATTATTAAAGCAAAACAAGTGCAATAATAATTGACTTAGCAGAAAAATGAATTGAACAAGAAGTATATTTATCCTGAAGACAAGAAATAAAACAATTAATGGAAAATATTCAAACACTATTACAAACAACAAGAGAATATTTTGATAATTTAAGAATACAATTTGAAAAAATTAGAGATGCAAGGATAACTAAAACAGTATCACTACAAGAATTTCACCCAATTTTAACAAATGTACAACTAACCTGAGTTAGACAAAATACTGCTATTGAAGTATTCAAAAACATTAGAAAGAATATTTATCAAACTCATATCTTAAATGCTTTAGTAGAAAACCTAGTCAGAGTAAGAAGAACATCCTTTAATGTATTAATATTAGCCTTAAGACCTCTTAATAGAAAGAATTATTCTATTTGAATTAACACAAAACCTTAAAATTAAAATCCAAGCACTTGAAGAATTATTTAACAAAATATTATCACCTCAACAAAACAGAAACTAAGAGACTTAGTATAACCTTAGAAGGGGGCAATAGGAATAAATTTCTCCCAAATTTTCTAACAGAATTTACAAGAAATTTATAATTTTCAAAACAGAACTGAAGAATTAATTAGTGATTTTTCACAACAAGATAATTATCCTGAACAAATTATTAGAATAATAAATGAAGACTATTTACCTTTTAGATTTTTCTGGAACCATAAAACTATGCCAAGGAATATACCATAAACCCTCATAAAGAAATTCTTGATCAAAGAAGTTTTGAAGAAATTTAACAAGATATTAAAAAAACTCTAGCAAACTTAATTGCAAGAACCAATCCTACAAATAATTCAAGATTAGGAACTACCTTAAAAACTTTACAGCTTGCAATAGCAATAAACTATTTATTACTCAATCCAACTTTCAAATATAGTATTACTGAGAAGCAGAAAAGATATATATAGCTACTCACAGCAACTGCAAAACAAATTAATCTTCTTAGAGAAAGATTTGTAAACAATTTGGAATTAATACTAAATAGCTTAAAACAGTATTATACCATATTACTTTTATTGCTAACGATATATTATTCAACAAAGAAGCATCTAAAGTACTAGATGAAGAACAAGAATTAAAAGTACATGAGAAAGTAACAGAATACTCTGTTAACCCAAGTAAAAATAGACCAAGAAGCAAAAGCTTTTAATGGATTTAAAATCCTGAATAAAACTAAAATGTGAAAATTTAATCTACAATTATATTCTAATAAACAGATGAATACCAATAAAGAATTGACCTAAATATTGTCTAGCACTGCAATATCAAACAGTTTTTACTTTTAAAGAAACAGAAGAAAGAACTTACGATTTATTATAATTCTGGAAAACTGACATGTTAGAACAACTTAGAGAAAAATTCTTACAAGAAAATCATAAAGAATTGGAAATAGAAAACGTATTTGAATCTGAAAATTGTTTTAATTAGATTCAACAAGCAAGAATAATCCATGTAGAATATATTGAACTAAAGGAAGTACAATCAGACCCAAGAGAACAGTATAAATACAAACTATTAGAAGAAGAATTAGACTGAAAATATTTTCAAAATGCTACCTTGAATTATTAAAACAAGTAGTAGAATTATTAGAACTAAGAGCCCAACTAGAACAATACAGAGGATACCAAACTCCTGAATCAACAATAAAACAATTACTAGAAGGAACATATTACGAAAACATGCTTAAGCCACAATATATCAATTAATAATAATTGAAAAAAGAATTTTAGTATATATCAAACTATTGAAATATATTCAAATTATTGAAAACTTTTTAAAAATTGATAACCAATACAAAGAACCCAAAGTTAGCCTCCCAGATAAATTTGACAGGTCTCAAGCAAATTTTAGGGGTTTTTTAAATCAAGTTCATCTTGTTATATGTATGCAACCCAACCATTATCCCAATGATCAATTACAAGTAGGTCTTCTTGGAAGCTTACTGACAGGTCCAGCCCTTACTTGATTCGCCCGCTCCTGGAGAAACAATCGCCACTACTCGAAACCTTTGAAGACCTGGTTAAAGAATTTGAAGCCACATTTAGTAACTCAGAAAAGTCCAAGACTGCAGCTAACAAAATCCAGAAGCTTGTCCAAGAAACAAGACCAGCCTCAAGTTATGCCTCTGAATTTCGGTAAATCGCAGACGATTTGGACTGGTATGAAGCAGCACTAATTGATCAATTTCAGAGTGGGCTTCACAATAATGTAAAAGACTTGCTTCTCACAGTTAAAGACCCAACCTCATTGAATGATGCCATTTCAAAAGCTGTCCAGTGTGACAACTGACTGTTTGAGCATAGACAAGAATGCTTTTGAGATCTCCCAGCAAGACAATACCAACCTCAGACCATTACCAGGCTAGCACCTTTCAAAGAAGACCCAATGCAAATTAATACTATAAGGATTAAGCTACTGTTAGTGGCAGAGAAAAGACGGCATCATACAAATAATCTCTGTTTCTATTGTGGTGACCAGATCACATTGTTAAAAACTGCCTTAGAAAACCCAACTTACCACCAAGAATTGATAATATTGTCTCCCCAGAAGAACCGTTGGGAAAAGAACAGCCCTAGCTGCAGTAAGGGAGCTGCAGCTAGATCATACAAATAGTCTACCTTTGCAAACCTACTATCCAACAACCACCCTGCAGCAGCACTTACCCCAGAGCTATATATCCACTTGTCTGATGGATCTCAAACAAGTGTGCAAGCTTTAATTGACTCTGGGCTTCAGCATGTTTCTTGGATCTTGCTCTAGCTCAAGAACTCAACTTACCCATTTCCAAAAAAGAGACACCATCGGGGTCTATAATGCACAAAACTGGGCCAATATCTGTACATCTACAAGATCATTATGTGAAATTAACATTCAACCTTATTCATTCTCCTTATTGCAAAGCAATATTAGGTTTATCTTAGTTAATATTACACAATCCTGAAATCAATTGGCATGAGCAAATTATTACTTTTTCATACTTGACCTGTAGAACTCACCTCTCCCCACCTTCAGGAAATAGTACTACTAATAGAGAACAAATTTTTGTGGTTCATGTTTTTCCTACTTGCGCAGTTGGTCCCTATCACACTAATGTAGAGCCACTCTCAATGGTTCCCAAAAAGTACTAAGAGTTTAGCGATGTTTTCAGTGAAAAAGAAGCATACAAGTTACCCAAAAACTATCAGTATGATTGTGCAATTGATTTATTACCTAGTACACAGCCTCCTTGGAGCCCTAATTACGAATTATCCACACAAGAACTCAAAACCCTGAGGAAGTATATCAAGAAAATCTAGAAAACAGTTTTATTCATTACTCAAAATCACCAGCAGGGGCTCTGATGCTCTTTGTCAAAAAAAAGGATAGCACGCTGCATATGTGCGTTGACTATTGGGGTCTGAATCGAGTTACAATTAGAAATCATTACCCTCTTCCCCTAATACCAGAATTACTGAATTGTCTTACTACTGCCAAGGTTTTTACAAAAATAGAGTTAAGGGGCTTATAACCTGGTGCGAATAAAACCAGGTGATGAATGGAAAACAGCTTTTCGTACAAGATATAGACATTTCGAGTACTTGGTGATGCCTTTCAGGCTCACTAATACTCTAGCTATTTTTCAACACTTAATGAACGATGTATTTAGAGACCTCCTGGGATTGTTTTACCATGGCTAATATGTCACAAAGATCAGGTTGATCTGCCATATTTGTTTGTTGTAGTTCAAGTTTTTTTTTTTTTTTTTTTTTTTTTTTACTATACTAATAGCAACTAGCTTAAGAGATAAATAAATTATAAGTTTATAGAAACCTAATACACAAATGGTATTTGGCTATTGGTTTGATGCCACTTTAAGATATGGATATTCTGTTCAAACTGTAATATAGCGAGTCAAAACTAATAGAGTTTTTCTTAATATGAGATCAAGAAGATTTATTAAACAAACTGACTTTTTACAAGAATATAAGTATTTGCTTTTATACCTTTGTGTTTTTACTTTTGCTATTACAATTACTAATCTAACTACAAATTACTATCTAATTACATCATAATTCATGCATCACTATCGACCCACATTGACTATTATAACTGACTATGAATTAACTAATTAATTTATGACAGCATAATTAATGCATTAGAAAATTACTTGGATTGGGGTCGGTTGTAGCATGGCATGGGCTTGGGTCATGGTCTTGATTCTGGGTGGCTTGGATCACAGTTTTGGCTATTATACTGGCTATTATGAACAAGAAACTGTTGCAAGCGAATCCTTTAATATACCAGTACATGAAGAAAGATACTTTTTACCAGAAGAAATAAATAAAGAAGCAGAGAATACTTTCAAAAGTTCTGAAGACCCCTTATTAGAAGAATATAGAAATACTATTCCAGACCTATCAAAATTATAAGATAAATTTAAAGAAATTGAAGCAATAGTACGAAAATTAGCATTACTCTTAGCAGGACATTTATTGTTATCAACAATTTCAAACCAACAAGGAATTCAACAAAATAGTATTCGAATTCAAGAAAGTTGTGAAGAGATTACAAGAAGAAAATGACCAACTCAAAAGAAAAAACATAGTGTTAAAAAGAAAAATAGCAGATCTTGAAGAAATTATAATGACTGAGCAAGCATTAAATTTATACACTGTGATCAAGACTATAAAATTGCAACTCTTTCAAGATTTAATGCATTTTACAATCCACAACTTCAACATCCTGGATTTGAAAGGGCATTAACATAAGTAAGCCAATTAAATGAACTCTCTAGAAATTCAATTGATGACTTACTAATTGAAGAAAAATTTGAACAATTTGAGGAATTAAACAATGCAATGGAGTAACAAAATATTAATTTATCTATAAAAAGTTTATCAAATGAACAATATTTGAAAACTTTTATTATCTATTAAATTAGTTATATTCTTATCATGTATTCACTTTTAAATTATTTTATCAATCGTATCAATATAAATATTTTTAAGTCTTGCCTAGTGCAAACGTATAAACAAAAATCATAAAAGTACAAATGAAAAAAATAAAAAATAGTTATAAAAACACAAAGAAATTGACCAAGTCTTGAACATGCCAAAATACCAAACAACACCTTCTAAAAGTTATAAAACAACACCAACCTATAAAACTATA